CACGTCATCAATTATCATCTATTATTAATTAATTCACCCTAAAATAACATTAGTATTTTGCGTATATTTGTCCATAAGATTATGAGTTTTTATCTCTTAAAAGAAATAAAATAGATTCGATAGTGAAAATGTAGATTGGTTTTAATGATTGATTTTTTTTTTAAATTAGTAATTGTGTTTTTTGGACGGCTCGTAATTTTATTAACTATAAATATATTAATTTATCAATTTAAAATTTAAATTTGAACTCATGAAAATGAGTTTATGTGAAATGATTTTTTAAATTTCTTTAAAAAATTATATGTTTGTTTATGTGAAATGATTTTTTAAATTTCTTTCAAAAATTATATGTTTAGTTTGACTTGGATGAAGCATAACTTGAATGTGAAATTTCTTAGTTGGACCTATATTAATGTTTACCAATGTTAGCTTTGATTTGATTCAAGTTCAACTTGACATTAGTCATCCTAAATTTAAATTTTGATTGAATAAATTTTTTTACATATATAAAGACGTTTTAAGTTTTTGTTTTTTTTCATTTTTGTTTTTAAAAGGTATTTTACTTTAAAAGTTCACTTATGGGATGGTACTAGTCAATAGACTTTTTGTTGACATCTTAATTTTCAAAACTTTATTTGTTTTTTTCATCTTGTGGTCTTCTATCCTTTTCATCATACACTCCCGATAATTTTATGTTTTATTTTTAATTTCAAAAATTAATTTTAGGTTACAGCTTTTTCATCGAATTTTGAAATTTGATATTTTTTTCACGGAATTTTGAAATTTGATGAATGTTTTTTTTATTGAATTTATTCGATAAAGAATTTTTTCTTTATCAAATTTCAAAATTTGATGGAGAATTTTTCAAAGATTTTCACTGTTTTCAAAATTTGATGCATCAGAATTCCAAATTCAATGAAACACAAAAATTAAGTGTAGAGTTTTTTGAATTGTAGAAAAAAATTTGGAGATGAAGAATGAAATGATTGGAGACGTAACCCTCAATTAAAACTTAACTAAATGTTAGATTTATGTATATTTAAAATTGAGAAATGTGTTTCTCTAAAATTATATATATCAAATTTTTTTAAGAAAATACAGTGTAAGTTTTGTATCTAATAATATTTAAGTAAGAAAATTTATATACAAGTTGTTTCATTAAAAAAAAAATTTAAATCGTGATTCATTACTTCCGTTTGTATGAAATTTTAATTTTAATTTCTCAAATTCATGTAATTGTCTCTTCCCAATAACATAATTATGTTTTGTAATCTACAAAAGTTAGTTGTAAGAAAAACGATGCTGGGTTCCTTTTGTCCAAATAATGTTGTTTATGAAACAAATATAAGACAGGCCATCAATTATCACCTATTATTAATTATTTCACTCTAAAATAACATTAGTATTGAACATGAAAGTTATTTTCTTTTATAAATTCTTATATAATGTTAATGTTTAATAGGAAAATGTTACGAGTTTGGTTTCTCACCAAGGATAATAGTTGAGTCAGTTAGAGAATGTAAAATATTATATACTTTTTTTTTCGTAGATTTGTCCAGAAGATTATGAGTTTTTGTCTCTTATAAGAAGTAAAATAGATAGTGAAAATGTACATTGATTTTAATGATTGATTTTTTTTAAGATTAATAATTCCGTTTTTTTGGACGGCTGAGTATAATTTAAAATTTAAGTTTGAATTAATGAAAATGAGTTTATGTGAAACAATTTTTTAAATTTCTTTAAAAAATAATATGTTTGTTTTGATTTGGATTAAGCATAACTTGAACACGAAATTTTTCAGTTGGATCTGTATGGATGTTTACCAATTTGAGATGATGTTAGCTTTGACTTGATTCAAGTTCAACTTTCGTTATACTAAATTAAAAATTTTATTGAATAAATTTTTTCATATGTATAAAGACGATTTTAAGTTTTTTTTTTAACTTTTGTTTTTAAAACTTATTTTGCTTTAAAAGTTGACTCATGGGATGGTCCTGGTCAATAAAGCTTTTGTTGACATCTTAATTTTATAAACTTTATTTATTTTTTTTATCTTGTGGGTCTTTTATCCTTTTCATCGTACACTTCTAAAAATTTTATGTTGTATTTCTAATTTCAAAAAATAACTTAAGGTTACAGTTTTTTCATGAAATTTTGAAATTTATTGAATGATTTTTTCTTTATTGAATTTTGAAATTCGATAAATAATTTTTTCTTTATCACATTTTGAAATTGGATTGATGATTTTTCAAAGATTTCCACTGTTTTTCGAAATTCGATGACTTTCTATCGGATTTTCAAATCCAATGAAACATAAAGATTAGTGGAGTTTTTTGAATTGTAGAAAAAAAAAATTTGGAGATGAAGAATGAAATGATTGGACATGTAACTGTCAATTAAAGTCAAACTCTATGAACTTAACCTATGTATATCTAAAATCGAGAATGGTGTTTCTCTGAAATTATATATATATATATATATATATATATATATATATATATATATCAATTTTTTTATAAAGAAAATATAGTGTAAGTTTTGTATCTGGGAATATTTAAGTAAGAAAATTTATATATAAGTTGTTTCATTGAAAAATTATTTAAATCGTGATTCATTAGTTTCGTTTGTATGAAATTTTAATTATAATTTCTCAATTTCATGTAATTGTCTTTTTTAGTTCTTAAAAATATTTGCAAAGATTAATCTTCCCAATAACATAGTTATCTTTTGTAATCTACAAAAGTTAGTTTTAAGAAAAACGATGTTGGGTTCCTTTTGTCCAAATAATGTTGTTTATGAAATAAATAAAAACATGCCATCAATTATCACCTATTATTAATTATTTCACACAAATAACGTTAGTAATTATTTCATACTAAAATAACATTAGTATTGAACATGTAAGTTATTTTTTTTTATAAATTCTTATATAATCATAATGTTTAATAGGAAAATTTTACGAGTTTGGTTTCTGACCAAGGATAATAGTTGAGCCACTTTTTTGGGTAGATTTTTCAAGAAGATTATGAGTTTTTATCTCTTATAAGAAGTAAAATAGATATGGGTTTTAATGATTGATTTCTTTTAAGATTAATAATTACGTTTTTTTGAGGGTTGTTAATTTTATTAACTAAAAATATATTGATTTCTATCATTAACGTGTCATAATTTAAAATTTAAGTTTGAATTAATGAAAATGAGTTTATGTGAAACAATTTTTTAAATTTCTTTAAAAAATTATATGTTTGTTTTGATTTGGATCAATCATAACTTGAACACGAAATTTTTCAGTATCAATGTTTACCAACTTGATGTTAGCTTTGACTTGATAGTTCAATTTAACTTTAGTTATACTAAATTAAAAAAATTATTAGAATAAATTTTTCCATATGTATAAAGACGTTTTTAAGTTTTATTTTTTAATTTTTGTTTTCAAAATGTATTTTGCTTTAAAAGTTGACTCATGGGATGATTATGGTCAATAGAGTTTTTGTTGACATCATAATTTTATAAACTTTATTTGTTTTTTTTATCTTGTGGGTCTTTTATCTTTTTCATTATACACTTCTAATAATTTTATGTTGTATTTCTAATTTCCAAAAATAACTTTAGGTTACAGTTTTTCATCAAATTTTGAAATTTGATATTTTTTCACGGAACTTTAAAATGCGATGAATGATTTTTTTTATTGAATTTTGAAATTCGATATATAAGTTTTTCATTATCAAATTACGAAATCCGATTGAGGATTTTTCAAAGATTTCTACTGTTTTCGAAATTCCATGAAGAGAAAAAACTTTCATTGCATTTCAAAATCCAATTAAACAAAAAAAATGAAGTGTAGAGGTTTTTGAATTATAGAAAACAATTTTTTTGGAGATGAAGAATAAATGATTGGAGGCGTAACCCTCAATTAAAGTGAAAACTTAAATAAATGATAGATTTATGTATATCTAAATTTGAGAATTGTGTTTCTTTAAAATTATATATATCAATTTGTTTTAAAGAAAATATAGTGTAAGTTTTGTATCTAATACTTGGAATATTTAAGTAAGAAAATTTATATATAAGTTGTTTCATTAAAAAATTATTTAAATCGTGATTCATTACTTTCATTTGTATCAAATTTTAATTTTAATTTTTCAAATGCATGTAATTGTCTTTTTTAATCTACAAAAGTTAGTTTTAAGGAAATGATGTTGGTTTCTGTCCAAATACTGTTGTTTATGAAATAAATAAAAGACACAGTAATTAATTATCATCCATTATTAATTAATTCACTCTAAAATAAAATTATTATTGAACAGGTTAATTATTTTTTTTTATAATTTTTTATAGAATCTTAATGTTTAATAGAGAAATGTTATCAATAGAGGTATGGAGGTTGGGTATTCTGGTATTTAAGTTATGCCTTGCTGATTCTTCTCTAACCCCAAGCATGGAAGTAATCCATCTTCCTCACGATGTTAACCACTGCGTGATTTGCATATGGATCAAAGTCAAGACCAATGAGCTCTTTACTCTCCACATGATAAAAAAACCTGAACTGTGTCGAAATCCAACCCGCATAAGTTTGTTTTCTGTAACAAGGATGATATAGTTGACATGTAAAATATTATATTCTTTTTTTGCGTAAATTTGTTTAAAAGATTATTAGTTTTTATCTCTTATAAAAAGTAAAGTAGATTCCATAGTAGAAATGTAGATTGATTTTAATGATTGATTTTTTTTTAAGATTAGTAATTGTGTTTTTTAGACTAAAAATATATTAATTTCTCTAAGTCATGTGTCATAATTTAAAATTTAAATTTGAATTAATAAAAATGAGTTTTTGTGAAATGATTTTTTAAATTTATTTAAATTTGAAGGATACTTTTTTTATTATTAGAGTTCTGACGTTGGATAATAGATTAATGAGAAGTTATCTGCATCTTGAAAAACTACGTCTATGAGTTTTGGTTCAGTTTTTAAAATTAAGTTACCATTAGTAGAAGGAGCCCAGATATAGATCCGATAATGACATTTGAGAAAACAAATTGTCGCTAAAAATTAGGGGAGAGAGGTAGAACCACCCTTATCAGTTGACACCATTCATCAGCATGTCAAATTTCTCGTCATGGTTCTTTCGCTTACGATATTCTTCCTCCAAGCTCTTCTATCGCTACCGCACCCTCCACAATAAATACGCACCCACCGTCTTCAACAACTGCTCTGCCAGGAACGCACGCTCAACTTCTCTGCTTCCTTTCGCGCTCGCTCTTTCCGCTGGATCACTCGCTCTTCATCCACACTTCAGTCCTTCCTTCTGCGACTCCGACAGGTTCTCTTTTCCCAATTATTTTATGCCTCAATTTGAATTCATTGATTATTACTCGTCGTCGATTATGAATTCAGACGACACCTGTGCTGTGAAAACCTAACACGAATTAGTCATATGATATTATGTGTGCTTACTCTCATCCTTTTTTTTAGAGATTGTAGAGTTACGGCCGTAGTTTTTTTTCTTTCAAGGATATGCTACTAGGAACTTCTAAGCATGCATGAACTGATTCTGATACTGCAGTCTGAATACGATAACTGTTATGTTTTTGTAACGATTTAAAGAGTAGTTAGTTGTGAATAGTCTCGATTAATCAAGTAATTGTTTGATCACGGACATGCCGTGTCTTGTAATGGATGTTAGAGGTGTGAATGTCGGGGGCAAAGGTAGCACGCAATACGTTGTTAAGGGATCACAGAAGGAATTTCCGCGGGAGCTTCTCGAGGAGTTGAAGATCATCTGTCAGGTACAGCATATGTTCGCTTATCTTAATATTCTGTAAATGTGCACATAGGAAAGACAGGCTTTCAAATAATTCGGTTGGTTCTAATTTGATGATCAATTATATTTGAAAAATTCTTTTAGTTCTTGCGGTTTCTTGTCTGGTTGTTTAGTTACAACTTACATTCCAATTTGTGAAACTTGGTATGTGTTTTGGAAGGCAGGCTAGTTTTACTTTTTCATTGGTTAGTTGTTAGGTAGCATTCACGAATACTTTTTGTCTGTTTTGGATGAAGTCAAACTAAATGATCAATTGTTTTGGAACTTCTACCTTGTGATTGTCAACCTGCATTGTTATAATGTTTCATTCCTACAGGAAAACATATCAGTTGATTATGACGAAAGGTATATCCATGGAAAGCCACAAAACAGCTTTCACAAGGCTGTTAATATCCCAGATGTGATTGTTTATCCGAGGTGAGACGTACTCTGAATTGAAGCTTTGGCTGAAATTTCTGTTTGCTTCCTCGTTCATCTGATCATTGTTTTTGCAATGTTGCAGTGATTGCATTGTCCTATTAAATTTTAACTATATCACAATTTGTTACTTGCATTGAGAAAGACCTTTGAAGTTTCTATTGCAGTGTTTTCCCAAATATTATAGTTTTGAAGAGACATAAATTATGTTGTTCTTTCTTTCCATTACGATTATCAAAATAAAACTATTGAAAATACTTTCTGCTAAGCTATGCTGATAATCTGTTGTATTTCTCAAGTGGAGTTGTAATATTGTGACAATTATAATATAGTAGGTTATGGTGATCATCAGAGCAATTGGACCTGGTGATATTTTATTAGATGCATTTGTTCTGAATATCATTTTGATATATCATATGCTGATGCAGCCATGATGCTATAATTTTTTGCTCGTGGTGTATTTCTACCTTAAAACAAGTTTTTTTTTCTACATTTGATCTGAATGCTGCTTGAAAACAGACAGTTCATATAACGAGGTTAATTTCTTTATTAAAATAATTTTCTGCACAACACTGGTCAATCTGGATTTTTGAAGATTGGTAAATTGGATCATTTCCATCAGGTCACCGAACCCTTGCAGAACTATATATTTTTGTTTACAAACATTAAGGGCTTTATGTCTAATATGCCATTTTATTAAGAGATTCCAGGACATTTGTTATGTGCAAATGCTTATGTGAGATGTAATGACTTTCTGATGTGTCATATTGTTGATTTCAAATTTTTTATCTAACCTGTCTATCATTTCTTACATACAATTACAATATATCAAAAAGACTTCTTATATTTCTAAATAGTTAATACTTGGACATGGATGNCTGGGAATATTTAAGTAAGAAAATTTATATATAAGTTGTTTCATTGAAAAATTATTTAAATCGTGATTCATTAGTTTCGTTTGTATGAAATTTTAATTATAATTTCTCAATTTCATGTAATTGTCTTTTTTAGTTCTTAAAAATATTTGCAAAGATTAATCTTCCCAATAACATAGTTATCTTTTGTAATCTACAAAAGTTAGTTTTAAGAAAAACGATGTTGGGTTCCTTTTGTCCAAATAATGTTGTTTATGAAATAAATAAAAACATGCCATCAATTATCACCTATTATTAATTATTTCACACAAATAACGTTAGTAATTATTTCATACTAAAATAACATTAGTATTGAACATGTAAGTTATTTTTTTTTATAAATTCTTATATAATCATAATGTTTAATAGGAAAATTTTACGAGTTTGGTTTCTGACCAAGGATAATAGTTGAGCCACTTTTTTGGGTAGATTTATCAAGAAGATTATGAGTTTTTATCTCTTATAAGAAGTAAAATAGATATGGGTTTTAATGATTGATTTCTTTTAAGATTAATAATTACGTTTTTTTGAGGGTTGTTAATTTTATTAACTAAAAATATATTGATTTCTATCATTAACGTGTCATAATTTAAAATTTAAGTTTGAATTAATGAAAATGAGTTTATGTGAAACAATTTTTTAAATTTCTTTAAAAAATTATATGTTTGTTTTGATTTGGATCAATCATAACTTGAACACGAAATTTTTCAGTATCAATGTTTACCAACTTGATGTTAGCTTTGACTTGATAGTTCAATTTAACTTTAGTTATACTAAATTAAAAAAATTATTAGAATAAATTTTTCCATATGTATAAAGACGTTTTTAAGTTTTATTTTTTAATTTTTGTTTTCAAAATGTATTTTGCTTTAAAAGTTGACTCATGGGATGATTATGGTCAATAGAGTTTTTGTTGACATCATAATTTTATAAACTTTATTTGTTTTTTTTATCTTGTGGGTCTTTTATCTTTTTCATTATACACTTCTAATAATTTTATGTTGTATTTCTAATTTCCAAAAATAACTTTAGGTTACAGTTTTTCATCAAATTTTGAAATTTGATATTTTTTCACGGAACTTTAAAATGCGATGAATGATTTTTTTTATTGAATTTTGAAATTCGATATATAAGTTTTTCATTATCAAATTACGAAATCCGATTGAGGATTTTTCAAAGATTTCTACTGTTTTCGAAATTCCATGAAGAGAAAAAACTTTCATTGCATTTCAAAATCCAATTAAACAAAAAAAATGAAGTGTAGAGGTTTTTGAATTATAGAAAACAATTTTTTTGGAGATGAAGAATAAATGATTGGAGGCGTAACCCTCAATTAAAGTGAAAACTTAAATAAATGATAGATTTATGTATATCTAAATTTGAGAATTGTGTTTCTTTAAAATTATATATATCAATTTGTTTTAAAGAAAATATAGTGTAAGTTTTGTATCTAATACTTGGAATATTTAAGTAAGAAAATTTATATATAAGTTGTTTCATTAAAAAATTATTTAAATCGTGATTCATTACTTTCATTTGTATCAAATTTTAATTTTAATTTTTCAAATGCATGTAATTGTCTTTTTTAATCTACAAAAGTTAGTTTTAAGGAAATGATGTTGGTTTCTGTCCAAATACTGTTGTTTATGAAATAAATAAAAGACACAGTGATTAATTATCATCCAGTGTTAATTAATTCACTCTAAAATAAAATTATTATTGAACAGGTTAATTATTTTTTTTTATAATTTTTTATAGAACCTTAATGTTTAATAGAAAAATGTTATTAATAGAGGTATGGAGGTTGGGTATTCTGGTATTTAAGTTATGCCTTGCTGATTCTTCACTAACCCCAAGCATGGGAAGTAATCCATCTTCCTCACGATGTTAGCCACTGCGTGATTTGCATATGGATCAAAGTCAAGACCAATGAGCTCTTTACTCTCCACATGATAAAAAAACCTGAACTGTGTCGAAATCCAACCCGCATAAGTTTGTTTTCTGTAACAAGGATGATATAGTTGACATGTAAAATATTATATTCTTTTTTTGCGTAAATTTGTTTAAAAGATTATTAGTTTTTATCTCTTATAAAAAGTAAAGTAGATTCCATAGTAAAAATGTAGATTGATTTTAATGATTGATTTTTTTTTAAGATTAGTAATTGTGTTTTTTAGACTAAAAATATATTAATTTCTCTAAGTCATGTGTCATAATTTAAAATTTAAATTTGAATTAATAAAAATGAGTTTTTGTGAAATGATTTTTTAAATTTATTTAAATTTGAAGGATACTTTTTTTATTATTAGAGTTCTGACGTTGGATAATAGATTAATGAGAAGTTATCTGCATCTTGAAAAACTACGTCTATGAGTTTTGGTTCAGTTTTTAAAATTAAGTTACCATTAGTAGAAGGAGCCCAGATATAGATCCGATAATGACATTTGAGAAAACAAATTGTCGCTAAAAATTAGGGGAGAGAGGTAGAACCACCCTTATCAGTTGACACCATTCATCAGCATGTCAAATTTCTCGTCATGGTTCTTTCGCTTACGATATTCTTCCTCCAAGCTCTTCTATCGCTACCGCACCCTCCACAATAAATACGCACCCACCGTCTTCAACAACTGCTCTGCCAGGAACGCACGCTCAACTTCTCTGCTTCCTTTCGCGCTCGCTCTTTCCGCTGGATCACTCGCTCTTCATCCACACTTCAGTCCTTCCTTCTGCGACTCCGACAGGTTCTCTTTTCCCAATTATTTTATGCCTCAATTTGAATTCATTGATTATTACTCGTCGTCGATTATGAATTCAGACGACACCTGTGCTGTGAAAACCTAACACGAATTAGTCATATGATATTATGTGTGCTTACTCTCATCCTTTTTTTTAGAGATTGTAGAGTTACGGCCGTAGTTTTTTTTCTTTCAAGGATATGCTACTAGGAACTTCTAAGCATGCATGAACTGATTCTGATACTGCAGTCTGAATACGATAACTGTTATGTTTTTGTAACGATTTAAAGAGTAGTTAGTTGTGAATAGTCTCGATTAATCAAGTAATTGTTTGATCACGGACATGCCGTGTCTTGTAATGGATGTTAGAGGTGTGAATGTCGGGGGCAAAGGTAGCACGCAATACGTTGTTAAGGGATCACAGAAGGAATTTCCGCGGGAGCTTCTCGAGGAGTTGAAGATCATCTGTCAGGTACAGCATATGTTCGCTTATCTTAATATTCTGTAAATGTGCACATAGGAAAGACAGGCTTTCAAATAATTCGGTTGGTTCTAATTTGATGATCAATTATATTTGAAAAATTCTTTTAGTTCTTGCGGTTTCTTGTCTGGTTGTTTAGTTACAACTTACATTCCAATTTGTGAAACTTGGTATGTGTTTTGGAAGGCAGGCTAGTTTTACTTTTTCATTGGTTAGTTGTTAGGTAGCATTCACGAATACTTTTTGTCTGTTTTGGATGAAGTCAAACTAAAAGATCAATTGTTTTGGAACTTCTACCTTGTGATTGTCAACCTGCATTGTTATAATGTTTCATTCCTACAGGAAAACATATCAGTTGATTATGACGAAAGGTATATCCATGGAAAGCCACAAAACAGCTTTCACAAGGCTGTTAATATCCCAGATGTGATTGTTTATCCGAGGTGAGACGTACTCTGAATTGAAGCTTTGGCTGAAATTTCTGTTTGCTTCCTCGTTCATCTGATCATTGTTTTTGCAATGTTGCAGTGATTGCATTGTCCTATTAAATTTTAACTATATCACAATTTGTTACTTGCATTGAGAAAGACCTTTGAAGTTTCTATTGCAGTGTTTTCCCAAATATTATAGTTTTGAAGAGACATAAATTATGTTGTTCTTTCTTTCCATTACGATTATCAAAATAAAACTATTGAAAATACTTTCTGCTAAGCTATGCTGATAATCTGTTGTATTTCTCAAGTGGAGTTGTAATATTGTGACAATAATAATATAGTAGGTTATGGTGATCATCAGAGCAATTGGACCTGGTGATATTTTATTAGATGCATTTGTTCTGAATATCATTTTGATATATCATATGCTGATGCAGCCATGATGCTATAATTTTTTGCTCGTGGTGTATTTCTACCTTAAAACAAGTTTTTTTTTCTACATTTGATCTGAATGCTGCTTGAAAACAGACAGTTCATATAACGAGGTTAATTTCTTTATTAAAATAATTTTCTGCACAACACTGGTCAATCTGGATTTTTGAAGATTGGTAAATTGGATCATTTCCATCAGGTCACCGAACCCTTGCAGAACTATATATTTTTGTTTACAAACATTAAGGGCTTTATGTCTAATATGCCATTTTATTAAGAGATTCCAGGACATTTGTTATGTGCAAATGCTTATGTGAGATGTAATGACTTTCTGATGTGTCATATTGTTGATTTCAAATTTTTTATCTAACCTGTCTATCATTTCTTACATACAATTACAATATATCAAAAAGACTTCTTATATTTCTAAATAGTTAATACTTGGACATGGATGAACAATGGAGAGTAGGAGAGGTTTTTAAAATATTGTGGATACATTCTTGTGGTAGAAGTTAAAGCATCCGCGTGTATTTATTTTCTTGCACTGTACTCTTATTTGCAGATCTGAAGAAGAGGTATCTAAGATTGTCAACTTATGTAACATTCATAAGGTTCGAGTTGTTCTAACTCAATAAATGTTGTTTAGCATGTTCTAGGTGATTTCTTTGCCTTAACATTTTATTATAAAGGCATTTGGATCAAACCAAATATCACTTGATCTTGCTTTTTCATCACAATTTCTGTGTTTATTTTTCTCCCTTAAAAAGAAACCTTTATTTCTCCTGTCCCTTCATACTTGAATTATTTCACATTTGGAATTTATTTCTGTTTTCATCATAATGAATTTGGTCCAGTCTACTTTTTTAG